GTGTGTGTGTGTGTTTTAGAAAAACAATAATTTACAAGTTATTATTAGGAGTTAGACATATACTTTCTATATGTATTTTTCCTATTCTATTTTATATTTAAAGGACTCATTTTGTCTTCTTTATGTATGAGGCTTAGAAGGTTCTTGAAAGACAAAAAGTATAAACAACCTAGCACTGTTCAATTAACTGTTTATATTTGGGCAGTAGATGTCCTCCGTCAGAAGTAGGGGTGGGAACCTAAGGGTACCTCACGATACAATACACGATACAAAGCTCACGATAACGATATGCTCACGATAACGATATGCTCACGATAACGATATTATCACGATATGACGATTATTGATATATATTGGTCAGAAATAACTCATATGCCAATATATGGTATAAATAAAAGAAAAATGAAAAAATACAATTTATTTCATGATAATGGAATGGAGATGCGTAATGTAGCCATATATTAAGTATTGATACATTTTTTTTTATGTGAAAAAAAAAAAATATATATATATATATATTGAAAAAATTGAAAATCAATTTCGATACTTGGCAAATGCATATCGATAATCGAATCGCGGGAGAAAGTATCGCGATATATCGATATTGCGATATAACGTCACACCCCTAGTCAGAAGAGACACTCGATGGTGTGACGTGTCTCCTATCAACTGTTGTTACAACTGGATGCAGCCAGTCACACAAAGCAACAGAGGATAACAGTGCATCTGAACAGTGCAGAGGATATAATGGACTGGATACAATGCAAAAATAGTAGATAACAGAAGAACATTAATACAAAAGATACGAGAGGCGGCCATCAACGAACACGATGGGGCCTCCAGAGACCACAGCCGGTGTGGTCAGCCTATTTTGCCCAATTATGCCGCTTTTCCACAGTAAAAGTACGGTACGGTTCGACTCGACATGGTACGCCAGGGCCCAGTTCGGTTGGTTTTCCATCAAAAATAGTACCTCCTAGTATCTCCTCAGCGTTGTCAGACCACGTAATGTACGCGCGACACGTAACTAGCAACATTGGTGCCGTCCGTGGATTTACTGTATTATCAGTGATAGCTGGTTATTACCTCAGAGGGGACTCTGCTTACCCCCTGCAGAACTGGCTCCTAAAACCTTTTCAGGACACTGGAACGAGTGACAGACGAACAGCAAGTTTGTAATAGAAAATTCAGCACAGCGCTAGTGGTTGTTGAAAATGCTTTTGGTAGTGTTAAAGGAATGACTTGGACACAGAACATGTGAAGTCAATGGTGCTGACCTGCTCTGGTCAATCTGTGAGAACCACGGAGAGAGCTGTGTCTACACACCTGTAGCAGCAGCAGTCTGTGCAGCAGTGTTGCAGAGGAGGAGGGCTATCCGATGCGTCGCTTTTCATATGCCCAAACATTAATTTTGACCAAAAATAAAACCTTTTTGTATTTACAAAATATCTCCATCCTTGTTCATGAATTTACCAATGTTATACAGATTTACTGTCAAATATAATGTACTGTATGTAGTAAAAGTACATAAGTATATGGTAGGAAATCATAATTTTTGAACCCCTTTTCTGCGCGTGTACAGACAAATGAATGAAACAAAGTCTTGATACAATCACAGACTTATTAAAAACAAAAATAAAGTGCAACACCAACAATTTACAAGTCCAAAGTACGTTTGAGACCAGGTCCAGATGAGGAGAATGTAAAGTACTCCGGTCACTCATTGCTCGTTGGTAATCTCCTCCCTTATGGGAAGGGATTCTCAAACAAACAAATATACACACGACAACTTAAATACAAGCACAAAACAGAATGGCAACACGTGAATACAGAAGATAATGTGAGATATACACTAGCACAGGAAGGACGTTAGCTTATTAGCTTTCTATCGATAGCTAAATGTAGCTAAATGTAGCTAGCTCTAACCCTAACAATCAAACATTTACATGAGTAAATACATTTCAGTGAGAGCTTTGGGCCAACGGGATACGTAGCAGTTATTTCCAGGATTACCACAGACTAGTCACAAATCCAGAGCTGGTGATCTCCCTGAAAACTGTGTTGAGCCTCGAGCTGCCTTTGAATTCTTTCTTTGGCCTGAAGAGAGGAACGTGTGGACCTCGTCCACCGCCCAGGACCAGGACTTTTGGGGCTTTCTGTGCAATTCCATTTCTCTGGAGTGAGGAGGACGTAATGTAGCCAAAGCAGAGCCGAGCAGAGCACCCGGTTTTAAAGATGGCGGTTGAGTTGTTTTTCCCAAAGGGTCAGATGTCGCTTCCAGTGACCACACTCGCTCACCAATCAGTGTAAGGCAGTCTCTCGGCGTCATGTCGTGGTATCGGTATGACGCGGATGGAACCACAGCCGAGGCAGTACGCATAAGTAACGCAAACTCGGGTGCTATTACCAGTAGAAATGCAAAATAACCAAGCCGAAGCGTACTGTACTGTACTGTGGAAAAGGCGTATATGTCAGAGCGGCTTTGGAAACAACAGCTGTTAAGAGATATGCCACACCATTGTGTGTTTGCCAAAGGCCGGAAGTCTACCACTGAAACATTTCAGGTGAAGCAGTACTAACTTCTTTATCCTCTTTGTACTAGCGTTGTTTCTGTTTGTTGAAGATACTCACTTACTGTACATAACCTTTGAATGAACGGAGAATACTCTGGTAAAGTATAAAAAAGCTCAGCACGTATTACACAGACATTATGTATGATGCAGATATTCAACATAAAGTAGTCCAAATCTCAAGACAAAACAAACCAAAAATGAATCCTCCATTTTCAACTTACATACACTTAACAGACACCAAAAAGTTATACAGCTGTTACCATGACAAGTGAAAATAATAAGTTAAACAATGCATTAACCATAGAATATCTTCATATTGTTTTTCTTTTAGTATTTTCTCCATCTCCACGTTTTTAGTGGGTGGTGCAAAGAGGATGGATAACTAAACATGTACAGCTGACTCAAAGGCATAGGAAACTGGGAATGTTTCTTTTTCACGCTATCCAGTCCTCGAGAGCTGTCAGAAGTGTCCATATGTCTCTGCAGACATTTTGGGAGTCCTTTCTCTTTCATTAGGTCTTGGTCTGTAGTCACAAGAACACTATGGTCAATGTCCCAGTATTTACTGATCAATTGACCTGTAAGTACAGAATGAAAATGAATAAACTTGGTTGTTTTTTCTTTCCACAGGCTTTAACTTTGAGATCTTCTTGATGCAAAATTTGAGTTTTTGGACCAAATCAGTTGTACGTCCCAATTCTGAGGGCAATTCTGTTCATAGAATTGTTGAATGTTTATGTCCTGCTCCTCAAAGTAAAAGAGAGCAAGGATTTAACATTTTTACCTCTCAGTACTTGCACAATTTTGAAGGGAAGTTACAACAATACAGCATTTCCCAGCATTTCTAACTATATGTAGCTATATTATTTAACTAGACTAAAGAAAAGGTGTTATCTGAGCAGAAATACTGCGTTAGCAAGTGCATTTTCAGCAACTACTCTGTGCGTTAGCCTCCAAACGTAATAAACTGCTTGTTAATCATTGAACCGTGAGCCTGTAAGTAAATCTATATTATATTGTCTCTGCTTCAAGGATTTATATAATTTATAAATAATTTTATTTGTTTGTGTTACAGTCGCTATACTAATGAAGGTCCATGTGGAATATGTGTTATATTTGTAGAACTTTAAATGGTATAATAATTAATGTCTGTATTAATTATTATTGTTGCAAACTGAGTTACACTGCTATAAATATAGAGATATATCTATAGATTATATTTATTACATATACACACACATTTATAAGCTGCAATCTGGATCTTTAGGTAAACTGTGGAAACATGGCATTTTGTTAACTCTACCTCCAGCAGTGCACAAGGGGGAGCCATATCACGCACACACGTACGCACACGCACACACATGCATACACACAGACAAACAGACGTACACACCCACACACACACACAAAGAGACGCAGACAGACGCACAAGTACATACACACACGCGTGCACGGACACAGACAGACGAGTACAGCCGCGGATCACAAGGTTTAAGGGTTATCAATGCCTTATCTAAACTCACTCTTTTTCACTCTTTGGGAATTTCTCCATGATTGCAGTTTTTCATGTTATAGTTTTTTCCTATTTGCACTTTAACCGTGCACAAACTGACCAATTTGTCAGAGAGCCGGTCACAACAGCTGATGAGAAACACACCATCACATGTCACCTCTGGCAAAGGCAGAAGTCGTCCGTTGAAAAATGTAAGGTGACAAACAAAGCAGTACTAGCTTCTTTACACTCTGTACCACTTTTACTTCTGTATGCTTAAGATGATCACTTACGTACTGTAGTCTTTGAAAGAACAGACACACTTGAATACAGTATTAAAGCAACTTTACTCATGTCAATAGTACAAACACATATCACTGCGCTGACTCAGCACTTATGTCAAAAAAAAATCCAATAATTTCTTTCCAACTTACATATATTTAACAAACACCAGGAAAGTATGTCAGGGATGAAGCAGACAGAGACGGATCGTGGTGCGCCAAACTCTGGAAGTTTATTTGTTTCTCTCAAGTTCCACTGGTTTCAATTGTTTCTTTCTCTCAGACAGAATGAAGGCAGTACACAGTTTATATAGTCATTGTCACATCACACATCGAAAGACGTACGTGTCACACAGAGACAGTCACATCATAGTCAAAATAATCAGAGTCCTTGTACAGTCCTGCACGTAGGCCATATTGCTATCTAATACTAACAAGTATATGACTGCTTCTAAAACAAGTGCAAGTAATAACTTCAACAATGCATTAACCATAGACTTTCCTCTTATTGTCTTGTTTCTTAAGTCATATATTTGACATAGAAAGTTCCATACTCCACATTCTAGTTTGTAAGCATGCAGGGTTTTTGAAGGAACATAGACCATGACCATGACCAAACAGGCCGTGTTGTTCCTGCTGAAATGTTGCTGTTATTCATACAGTTTTGTACATTTCCTCTAGGTTTGCTATTGCCTTTTTTAAAGTGACTCTTTTCCACTCGTTGGGGATTTCTCCATGATTGTAGTATTTCATGTTATAGTTTTTTTCTAGGTCTTCTTTAAATGTGCAGACCATCCACTGCCAGTAGGAGAGCTGGAAGTGATGAGGGGTGATGCTCCAAGTGTCTGCGGGGGGTCCGGCCTCGCGGTAACGCTTGTAGGGCACCTGTCTGTTGGAACCATCCGGGTGGAAAGTTGCGTTACCTGCCACTTGTGTTGAGCAGAAAGGCAGAGACATCTCTATCGTGTCCTTATAGTGAAAACCTTTGACAGAAGGAGATCGGTGAAAGGGCACGCTATGGTCCATTCCTCCGTCTTTGGCAAGTTTGTGATTTTTGACAGAGTTTGTGCAAACAGCTCCACAGAAAGGACACATTTCCCAGCAGCAGTCACATAGTTGATCAATAAGGATCTGGTCTGGCGTCCGTCGAGACGTCTTCAAAGCACTCACATGCACCCTTTTCAGATCATCAACGATGGCCTTTAGCCCCTTTCCGACTTCTTCCTTCAGAAAATCAAAGTTGTTTACATCAATGAAGTTTTGAGAGGAAATTGATCCAAATGTCAATTTGACTTTGATCGATTGTGTAAAATCCTGAAGCCACATGGAGATATCCCCGTTTTGAGCTTTTGTTTTCTCTGTTGCATCATAGAGAGCTGGGTCTAAATGATGTTTGATGTTTAAGATATTCTTCATGAAGTGAAGACGGAATTTTTGTTTGTACATTGTCTCTTGTAAGGATTTGTCTACTTCCTCTCTGATGAAAAACTCAGTGTAAGACCGTGGTTCCTCGATGTAGTGAATGTATTCTTTAAAATCTTTCTTTGTGGCTAGTGACTTCAACAGATGCTTCTCCAGGATGAGTCGGCTCTGTTTGAACGCAGGGACATTATGTTTTAATTCTCCTGCAATATCGATCGATGTCTGGTTGATGACAGAATCTCTCATCGAGGCCTTGATTTTCTCACAGATAAGTGTGGCTAGAACCACGGCTGAGGAGCTTTCTCTGTAGAAACCCTTGAAGAGACTGTAGTATTCCTCTTTCTTTCCGTCCAAAAATGTGCAGGCATCATTGTTGTTCATGTATTTTGAATGAGAGTCTAATATAGACTTTTCTTTTTTGTCCATCACGTACAACATCAGATCAACTTTGAAATGTTTTCGGAGATTGAATTTCTGTTCTGATTCAAATGTGTCGATAGATGTCAGCATGTATTGACCCATTTTTCTCAGGTAATTTGGACTGTAGCCTCGCTCGACCACAGGTTCCATCTTTAATAATTCTGATGTTTCTTGATCAACTTTTGTGATGAGATTATCAATTACCTTCTGATCCTCTGCTGGAAGGTGGCCAGAAAGGAAAGCCTGTGTTTTAGCTGAGTCTTCTGGGGAACTCAGACTTTCCTTGCGTTTCAGAGTAACACAGTCAGTAAAATCTCCACGTTCTGCCAAGGTTTTGTATTCTTGTAAAGCTTTTCTTGATGTAATTTGTTCCTTTTCAAAACCAAGCTCATGAATGACTTTGATCACATCGTCTTCAAAGTTTATTGTCTCAGGTGGGTTCATGCCTTGTGTTACTTCAGAAACCAAACTTTCCCAAACCTGGCCAAATTGCTGTTTAAGTTCCTGTTCGTCTGGTGATTTGCCTCGAAGCTGATGAGCCAGTTCTTTGCTTTTTTGCAAGAGTTTATTTTCAAACATGGTTTTCCTCTCTTCTAACTCTTTACTGGCTTTCTTCTGTTCAAAAACAGAGCTCAATTTCCGCTCAAGTCCTTGAACCAGTTCATCCTGAAAAGTTTGAATTTTAAGTTCATGTTGACCCCGCCACTGGATTAATATTTCTTTGTCCTTATCTTTTCTTCCTATCTTTAAAAGAACTCTGAGATTGACTGCTTTGTTTCATTATAGGTCTTGGTAAGTTTTCTGTACAGAAAATTCTGGTCAACTTTGTCACGAGTTTCATTTGAAATTATTGTATGAAGTTCTTCCTCAATGTTCAGTATCTCCTGCCTCAGAGCCCAAGTCCAGTTTCCATATTCAACTTCCAGTCTCCTGTAAACTGCAATCTCCAGAGTGTTTTTGAAGCTGAACACAAAGTTCTCGTTTAGAAGGGCATTCCACAGGTCATCGACTTTAGTTTTAAACATAGACAGCTTGATTCCTGGAGATGGTTTGGCTTTAGTGAGAATGTAGTTCCTCAGATCTTGAACACTTTCACTGTAACCTGGATTTGTAGGTGCCATTGGAGGAGTTCCCTCCCACAAGGGAGCAAAGTACTTCACATCTTTATGAACATCAAACTTAATTATATCACTGAAGTTTTCAGCCTCACACTCTTCCTCTTTGGCAGCTAGTTCTACCATCTTATCTAGTTTTTCCTGCAGTTTTCTTTTGGCGTACATGTTTTTCTCTTCAGCGCTGACATCAGAGACATTCTGGTGAACAAACACACAACTTGGAGACAGTTTGACTTTCTTCATTCTCATGAAAGCCTGAACCACTATCTGTAAGACATCCTGGATCTCAGAGGGGTTTTCACCAAAGATGTTCACCAGAGTCATGTTTCCAAGACCAACCACGAACGTTGCCAGCTCATTATCGTGGTGAATGGTATTGTTTCCTTCCAGCTCAAGAGCTCTCAGCCCCTCAGTGTCCACCACCAGAATGTAGTCCCACAGAAACTCTGTCTTCAGTTCTTCAGACAGTTTGACCAGCTGCATGAAGGTCCCTCTGGTGCATCTGCCTGCACTTACTGCAAACTGGAGTCCAAACATGGCGTTTAGCAACGTGGACTTTCCACTGCTCTGTATGCCCAGAACTGAGAGCACAAAGACACTCTTATCGCCGAGTCTGTGAATGAGCTGATCCATAACACTCGAGATCCAAGTCAAAGGGACGTGGCCAGCATCTCCATCCATCAGCTCCATGGGGTGACCTGAGATCAACAGCTCTGCAGCCAGTTGAGGGTATTTAGACCAGTCTGTCTGCACTTCTGTCTGAGCTTTATCCAGACACTTATGAGCTTCATAGATCTGTGCCATTTCTCTGAAGATGTGCTCCAGGCCACAGGTGGCTGATTGAAGGTCAGTTGAGAGCTTTGAAACCTCTGCTTGTTTAATTCTAAGCTCATCAGGTTTCCTTGGATTCTTTTTAATTTCCAAGAGTTCAGACCATTTCTGATGATATTTTTCTAGAATCAAAGTCAGGCATTCTGTGGCATCAGAATCCAATAAGATCTGGGTCCATTTGAGGAAATATTCTTTCTCTGAAACTGAAGATGATAGGTGTTTGACAAAGGACTGAATGAGTTCACTGCACGACACTTCACATTGTTTCTCTCTCAGTCCCTGCAGCTCACTCAGCCTCAAACTCTTTTCAACTTCGATATTTCTTTGCAGTCGATATAGCTCTTTGTTTGTTCTGCACCAGTCGTGCCATAGTTGGCCTTGACAGGGGAGAAAAGTCTCTTTGATATCAGACATATTAACAGACTGAATAATTTTCATAATATCCTTTGCAAAGAACAGCCCTTGTGTGCAGCTGGCATCATTTTCATCCACTCTGAACCCGGTGTAAGACATAGACTCGAGCTGAAAGGGCTTGTGTGGAGAAGATAATACATCTCTGATTATTTTTTTCAGGTCTTCTGACACATCTGACAGAGTTCTGTGTTTAAGCCCAATTTTGTATTTATAATTTCCTTTTTTGAACTGAATGACACTGTGTCCATTGTTTTCTATCAGAACAATAAGGGGTTTTGGGGACACCAGAAGATGATTAATCACTGCAGCACTCTCATGGTTACGGTCCATCTTTGCCACAAACACAATATTGATGGAGGACATTTCCAATAGAATGTTCATCTGTTTGTTGTGAGTCAGCCCGTCTCCATGAAGGTTACAGAAGGCAACACAGTCGGTGAAGTTGTCGTTGGGCTTTCCTGCTGGACAGTACCAGGCAATCTCTGCCATGCCCTCAAACAAGAGCTGAGTTTTTGTGTTGCCCGGACAGTTTCGGTGGAAGAAGGTACTATGACGGTCATTGATCAAAGTGTTGATGAGTTGAGACTTTGACACAGACAGATCGCCCAGGCGCAGACAAAACACCATGGGTGTCACTGCTTTACAGATGGACATGGACTTCATCAACACCACGTTTGAACCGTCTTTGGTCTCTGTTTTCTTCCAGGTCTTCTTGATCTCTCTGAATGTCCACAGAGGGCACTGGAGTTCTTCTGTGAATGGTTCTGGTATCAGCAGAGGTAAGGCGTACTGACACTGGGAAAGCTTTGTGACCATTTTCTGCTTAAGGAAAGAGTCTGCACAGTGAAACACAGCCATCTGCACTTCCAGAGGATGAATGTGCGTTTTCTCCAACCTGGTGTCCTCGTCTTCAGTCGTGTCAAAAAAATCATGTGTTTCATTTTGTTCAATTATTTCTTGTGAACTTTCCTGTTTCACCTGAATGTATCTAGCTCTATAGTCTAACATCAGCAGTTTGTGGAGGTAGACGGATGACAGATCGCTTTCACTAATGTCCTTGTCATGTTCTTTAGTTCGTCGTATCTGAAGAAACTCTGCAGATGTTAGTTTATCCTCATATCTGTCCAGCAGGTGGAGTCTACACAACAGTTCGTCGGTTTTTTCTATCTTTATTCTGTCCATCACATAACCTGTAAAATATGAAAGACATGTTAACTTTGTCTATTACATAAAAAAATTATATATAAATGTAGGGTGACTACTTATATTAGCTGATTATAATTACTTTTAGTTGAATTTGTAGTGATGGAGCGGCTAGTCTCCGGAGCGGAAGCTCGCCGTTCCACCAACAGGTCTATGTTATTTATTTTGGGCACCAGCAGAGTTAGAAATCTGCACATAGACACCAACCAAAATCTTTGCCTCGATATCAATCTATAATCTAAGGGTGTAGAATACTTTTATCGGCCAGGGATATTCCGAGATCTAACAACGCGGGACTCTGGAGGGGTTGAGTTAAAGAAAAGTATTTTATTGATTACAAAAATGAGGGGTAAAAATATAACGAAGAGGGATTTCTGTGTCACATTTAAAAGCAGGAGTTGTACACATATCATTCAAATCATACATTAACAGAGGAACAGTCGTACTTTGAAGGAGCGTTAGAGGATGGAGAAAGGATTTGGGTTGGGGAATCAGCCCACGTGGTTCCTTTGTATGGGCAGGCGGGAGGTACAAAGCCAGTGATAGTTGGTCCAGCTGCTGGTCCACGCGTATGCAGCTCAGTCCGGAAAGGGTTGCACGCGTTATAGTCCAGAGCCAAGGAAAGAGGGCTGGTGATGAAATGGTTCGTAAGGTCCCGAGCCAGAGGCGAGGAGTATGTTTGGCGGGGAGTAGAAGGCCCGATGCGTGCTGGCGCGACCGTAGTAGGAGACACGTGCCGCGGGACGCCGATGGCCAGGGAGGTTGCGATCTAGTGATTTCAGGAGAAGGCAAGAGAAAGAACAATGCTTTGCGGGTGCTTATATTGACTTCTGAAGGGGCGTGTCCATGTCTTCCTCTCTGTGGACAATACTCCTTTACACAGACAGTTTGTGAAGGAAACATACAGGATTGATGCAAATGATCATAAGACATGTACAAACACACAGTGTATTTACATCACAGACATTAAACACACGAGTAAGGTCCGTAACGTTAATATCATTGAGTAATGTCCCCTTTGAATGTTCGTCTTGGGTGCTGGTAGCGTCCAGTGTCGCTAGGGAGCGTCAGAGGGCCGCGGGTGGGACCCCTTGGTCCGTGGAATGCATTGTGACAATGCTGATTGGTATCAGCTCCTCTGTTAACATGAAAAAGGGCACCAGATGGGTATCCCGCTGTTTTTATGGGTCCGATTGGCGTCGGTAATCCTCATGATTGATGGCGGCTTGTGGCTGACCCCATGGCTCCTTTGAAGCTGTATCTCTTCCATTTGGTCAATGGTAAACAGAGTGGACAGGCTTGGTCCTGCCTCAGTTTAACCTTACATACCCCCCCCACGGCAGAGATGCACCTTCCGACAAGGTGCATGTCATGTCGGATTATGCTGTGGGGTTGTCTTCAGTCGGTCTTCTCGCCTAGTTCGGGTGTTAGTGTACAACTTGTAGTGACATGTTACAACATTCCCGTCTCAATGTGACTCAGTAGCTCGCAAGCGCCTAACTGGGGCAGGCTCGTAGCGGTTGGGTCTCGGGCCTCTGGCTTGGTTTGTCGAGGCCGGGTTTTCTCTAAGGCGAGTCCTGGCCCTGCAGGCTAGTTCTAACCGGAAGATCAGGGGTTTTAGGGAGTGAGCTCCGGCCGTGAACTCTAAGGTTTGGGCCGGTGCGCCTGACTCCTGGGTCTCTTGGTCTGGAAGACTCAAAGTTCCAAGCCAAGAGAGTAGCAGGAGTTTCTACTTTAGGGGACTAGGATACAACATAGGAAACTTCAAAAATCAAAAAAAAAAAGTGGCTGCCTTGGCAGCGGGTAGGAGCGTCGTTAAGGCACTCGATGGTGAGGGGTTCCCATCTTGCTCGTTCTAAAAGGGGAGTGTGAGGGTTACACGAATATATGACGTAGCGAGGGGGGCTTTAATTACGAGGGACATTTCCTGCATATAAATGGGGATGACAGGCATGATTGTCTAGGAGACTGATTAGGTATCGAGGTAGGTTGGTTGGGTCTGAGCTGGTGACTCTTAGTGGTGTTTTAGGCCCTTGGTTCACCTTCCGTGATAGAAAGGGGTGACCGCCTCGAGTGGGTGACTTTGGAGGGTCCTTGTACTCTGAACTCATTGACCTGGGGACGCCGACTCAAAATTGCCACGCTCGACGGGCGCTGTCGCCCCGGTTTGGTCGGTCTACGGATCTGTCTCGTCATTGCCTCCGTGCACCTGTTAAAGCTATCGCGGAGTCGTCCTAACCACGTCTATTTAGGACGAAGGCCATGACTACGACAAGTGCCGTACCCGAGTCCTTACCGCGATGGCCATGACTGTATCGGGGGCGGCCCAGGAGTAGGCTACTGGTTAGGTGGTGGATGGATCGCGTTCGCTTGGCAATCTCTTGAAGGAGATTGTCTACGACCGTAACGTCATCGGTTTGTGCCCCCTCGTAGGTGGCTTGGACTAGGGTAGAGGGTTGAAGTTTCCAAGGCCCTTTCCTCAAAGAACTCTGGGTATCTCGACGCTCTGCCTCGTACTGGTTCGGATACAGGTGGTATAATGCCAGGTCGCCTACGTGCAGGATAGCGTCGGGCTGGGACGTCGACCCAAAGAGGTTTCGTCCGGGAGGCTTACTCGGGACGGAAGGTGGTCCGTGTTTGTCATAGGTCAGGGTCGCCGTTCTAAGGGCTGAGTGTTCACTAGCCAGCGTGCCCCTACCTATCTCTGCTCTAGTTTCGGTTATAAGTTTCCGAGAGGTGACCGTCGCGGGGCATTCGATCTCCCTGGAGTCATTGGGCCTCAGGCCGCAGATGCCATCGGGTGCTGTCCCTGACGAAAGGTTTGCTGGGGGCAGATTGGTAATGGATGTCCTTGGTGAGGGTTACACATCCTTAGGTTTGGCGTTAAGGTATAAAATTGGGGTTACTGTCGTGGTACGGCTACTATGTCTGGGGTTGGACTCTGGACGTGGGCATTGTCCCTCCAAGTCCCTAGGTTAGTTGATCCTGTTAGTCGGTAGATTTTTGTCGCCGGGAACTATCGGTAGGGTGACTGTAAAGGCTACCTCGGGTCCAGAGGATTAACATAGATGGGACTTGAGCGCCAGCGTGTACGCTTTGTGGGCTTGCATGGGGGTTACGGCTGTCTCGTGTGGCTACGGTAGAATGTTCTCAATAACGATAGCGGCACGACGGTATGGCGGGATACGGCCCATGGCTAGGTTTTTCGGATCGAGGGAATGAGGGTGACGTAGCATGTCTCCATCCAGTTGGGTGGTCAGCTGATTATGGGCGTAGTCTAGTTGGAGGACGTCTAAGAGTGGGTTGACCGCAGCTGGAGGTGCGTTTAATCAACCTGTGTGTGTTAAGTACATTGCATGGTTTCTTTTAGGGATTTTTCACAAGGTTACCACGTCGTTTCTGTTTGTGGTCAAGTTGGTTTGACATCTCTCGAGAGGGCTCCAAAGGGAAGTGCCATTTCTCTGTTTTGGTGGCGTCTGAGGGAGGATAGGCTGATGGCGTTTACCGTGGACATCCCTAAACTAATAGAGGGTGCCAAGGGCGGACGCCGCGCCGAGAGAGAGCCCCAATAAATCGTTTGGGTCTGGGGCGGGGGTCACTGAGCTCTGTTCCTAGTGATCGTGAACTTCTCTAGTTGCGTGCAGCATGTGTTGTATGTCTGCCTCAGCATGCTCCACCGAACCGTCTGTGTCAGTATCAGGTGCACCTGGCCAATCTTGACGATGTGTGACCTTCAAGGGCAGGTTCTTTGCGGCAGACTTCACTTGGATTGAGTCTGACAAAGATTCGAGTGTGTGGGGTCGGACGTCCGTGATGAGGAGCCCGGGTTGTTCTTATTTTTAAACGATCCCGGAGGCTGGTTCCGTGGTCTCAATAATTTCTGGACGGTGCCGAGGCCAGTAAGCAGCGTCAGCACGAGAAGGAAAGTGGACCACATGTTCTGCAAGGCGTGAAACTACTGTTAGGGGTTAGACAGGGACAGAGAGAAAGAGAGAGTCGTTAGGTGCAGCCGAGAAGAGTGTTAGTGGGTGCTGGGACTTAATCGTGTTTGAGGTCACGTGTGTGTTGTTCCTAACTGGGGTTTGCGGTTGGTGCCCTGGCTTGTCCATGGGGCTTTGTTTGTTTGTGGTTTGGTTTGGCTTGTAAACGGGCCCATCTGAGGGTCGGGCTCTCTACCTTTTGTGACCTTTATTTGGTGCACTGCGGTTGAGAGTTTGTTTCCCCCCCCCCCCCCAACCCACCCTGTATGGTCTTGACCAGCGGGGAGATTAGGTAGCGATTTCCGGCGTTAGTCTGGTGGGGCCGGTCCCCGCTGTGTCCTGGGGCGAGTGTGACAAGGTGTGAATACCATTATCCTGGGTTTTTTGACCTGGGGGTGGTCCTGCGGGTCGTCCTGTTTTGGTTTGTCCTCAGGCGCCGGGGAGTTTTTTCACGTTCTCGTCACTCAGGTTTGGGGATACGTACTTAGTATTCGGTAGCCGTTCGGTCCGTTGTTTCTACCTGTTGTAGTGCCCTGATCGTGTGTTGTTTATACCTGTTGTTTCGCGGTTGGTGCGTCATGGGCGTGTGCCAACATTACCCCCTATGCTTCGAGGCACCCACGGTACCAACGA